CACATGGCTAATTTTTGTATTTCTAGTAGAGAGGGGTTTCGCCATGTTGGCCAGGTTGATCTTGAACTCATGACCTCAGGTGATCCACCTGCTTGAGCCTCCCAAACTGCTGGCATTACAGGCGTGAGCTGTTGCGCCCAGCCCAAGTATTAATATTTATTGAAAGTTTCCTGCATTCCAGACACCATAACAGGCGTTAGGACATAGCAATTAAAATATAATCACTGCCCTTTGGAGCGTAGAGTCCAAGGAGAGGCAGTGACAAAAATCAAATAAATGACTGCACATCCCATTATTTAACTGTAACTAGTAGATGCCTTTCAAGTAGAATAGAGTGCTATGACAGCATGTCAGTAAGGGTCTCTGACCTAGTGTGGGGGAAGAGGTGGTGAGGGAAGGATTCCTTGAAGATGAGACATTTCAGCAGCCTCTCTCCTCTAGCTGCCCAAGATGCCAAAAGGAAAGGAGGCCAAAGAGAAGAAAGTGGCCCTGGCCCCCGCTGTCATGGAGCAGCAGTAGGCCAATAAGGTGGTAAATCTCATTTGAGAAAAAGCCCTAAGAATTTTGGCATTGGACATCTAGCTGAAGGGCCTCACCCACTTTGTCAAATAGTCCTGCTATAACTGGCTGCAGCGGCAGAGCCGCTGTCCTCTATAAGCGGCTGATGTGCCACCTGGGATTGACCAGTTCACCCAGGCCTCAGACTACCAAACTTAAGCTACTCAATTGCTTAAGCTTGCCCACAGTACAGACAAGAGACACAGCACGGGAAGAGATTGAAACTGTTGGCCCAGGCTGAGAAGAAAGCTGCCAGCAAAGGGGATGTCCCTACTAAGAGACCACCTACACTTCAAGCAGGGGTTGACACCGCCAACAACTTGGTAGAGAACATGAAGGGTCAGCTGGTGGTGGATCCCATTGAGCTGGCTGTCTTCCTGCCTGCGCTGTGTCCTAAGATGGGGATTCTCTACCGCACTGTCAAGACTGGGGTGTCAAGTTCCACAGGAAGACCTGTACCACTGTCACCTTCACACAGGTTAACTTTCTGGAAGACAAAGGAGCTCTGGCTAAGCTGGTGGAAGCTGGCAGAACAAATTACAATGACATATGAGATCTGCTGTCACAAGGGAGGCAATGCCCTGGGTCCAAAATCTGTAGCTTGCATTACCAACCGAGAAAAGGCAAAGGCTAAAGAATTTGCCACTAAACTGGGTTAAGTACACACTGTTGCGCTTTCTGTACATAAAAATAATAAAATTTCTCCTTCCAAGAAAAGTATTTCCTTTTGGCTGGAATTGCCATCTTGGAGTAATTTGCCAAAATGATGAACAGGGGACGAGGCATCTGATATATGCTCTCCTGGCCTTATAGAAAACACGGAGTTTGGGCTGGGCGCAGTGGCTCACACCTGTAACCCCAGCACTCTGGGAGGCTAAGCAGGTGGATGGCCTGAGGTCAGGGGTTTGAGAACAGCCTGGCCAACACAGTGAAACCCCACCTCTACTAAAAATACAAAAAATTAGCTGGGCATGGTGGCGGGCGCCTGTAATCTCAGTTACTAGGGAGGCTGAGGCAGGAGAATCGCTTGAACCCGGGAGGCAGAGGTTGCAGTGAGCTGAGATCACACCACTGCACTCCACGCTGGGCAACAAGGGCAAAACTCCATCTCAAAACAAACAAACAAACAAACAAAACAAAAACACGGAGTTCCTCTGGCCACAGACACCAGAATCTACAATGAAGGTGATCTTGAGGACTGAATAAGAATGGATATTGTTCAAAAACCAATGACCCACAAATGTTACATGGCAGAACTGGAAAAGTCTATGTTACCTAGGATGCTGTTGGCACTTCTGCGAACAAGGGCTAGATTCTTGCCAAAAGAATTAATGTTTCTGTTGAGCATATTAACCACTCTAAGAGCCAAGTTCCTTCCTGAAATGTGTGAAAGAAAATGATCAAAGAAGAAGCAAGTCAAAGAGAAAGGGTTCAACTGAAGTGCCAGCCCGTTCCATTGAGGGAAGTATACCTTGTGAGAACCAATGGAAAGGAGCCTGGGCTGCTGGAACCTATTCCCTATGGATTCATGGCATGTTAGGTTAAAAACAGATAAATACAAGACCTCTGAATTGCTTAGAAAAAAGAAAGAGAGAGAGAGAAAAAATGAATTCAGCAGAGCCTTGAAGGATAAGTAGTTAGGTGTAGGAGGACCATTTTTCAAGAGGCCCAGAGCCCTAGAAGTAGACAAACCTTGGGGCTGGTCACCAGGACTTCTAGCACTGGAAACAGGTAAAGCTGTCAGCCAACATTCACACAACCCTGGCTCCACTCCCACTATCCTTTAACTGGAAACGCGTCTTAGGACCCCGGGCACTAAAGAAAAACGAGCAAGGAACTTCCACCCACGCTCTTAGAAAAGTTCTCCAGAAAACCATTTCAGGATCTACTTTTGTTATCTGAGATATTTTCCTGGACAGTTTTCTACGTCTCCCGTGGCACCTCCTTTATGAAACTTTTTCTTATCCTCCTTTGGTTTGTGCCTCCCGTGTGTGTGTAGAACACATTCTTACCACTTACCTCTCTCAGAATCAGTTCATCATCTCTAATCCCCAAACCTTACCGTGTTCCTGTCACGGTGTACTTTGAGGCTGGAAAGTCACAAGGGCTGTAGAACGCAGTGGATGTGGCACAGGATGGGGAGGGCTAGGTTGGCTGGGGAGCGATCGGGCAGGGCTTGAACGCCAAGTTAAGGGAATCTGGTCAGTAGTCCCCAAATGAATTTCTGAATCTCGAGGGAAGAACAGTAAAATACAGACTTCCCCAATCTCACACAAGACCCAAAGGGCAGCCAGTGCCCGAGGCGGTTCCGAGAATCAGACAAGTTTGGGAACCTGCTCAGGACAAGGAAAACAAAAGGTTTCCAAGCAAATGAGTGAAATATCTCAACTACGTTTTAAAATGCACTCCAGTCGGATAGCAGACAGGAGGCCACCGCAATAATCCAGACGAGGGGCGGTGAGGCCTGAGAAATGGGAGATAATCGCCTTCATCTCGATTGGCGGCGCCCACCACGCTGTCCGGCTCGGCGGGCCTCCCTTAAGGCACGCAGCTGATCGGAACGCGCTTTCTTACCCGCCTCATGCGCCCGTTGGACAGCAGGTCGGCGATCCCCTTGGCCGCGTCGTTTTTTTCGGCCACACAGAGGACCTTCCGCACGCCTCGGAGGGCCACCTCCATGGCGGGGCGGGAAAAGGCACGGTCTCCGGGCTGTCGCAGCCACCGGAGCGCGGAGCGTAGGACAGGAAAGATCATCCTTAGGCCCCGCGCCTGCAGCCGCTCCCCGGCTGCCGGCGCATCCTGGGGAAGCCAGAGGCGATGCTCAACTGGCGCCCACCGAAAAGGAACTAGAGCCTCGCTTCGGTCACGTCCCCACCAGCCTGCTGGCCTTTGGAGCTTCAGTCACTCAGTCTTTTCCGTGTCGCAGCCGCCGCCTCAGCACCGAACCCAGTACCTTGGCGTGCAGCTTCCGCCCGCCTTCTCCAGCCACTTCCGCCAGGCGCGCGCCCCACAGCGACCTGGAACTACAACTCCCAGACTGGCCCGCGCCCCTCGTCCAAGCACGTTTCCCCCTACCACCGCCCCCCCGACTCACTCCGCCCCACTTTCCCCTCCTTCCCAGCAGTGGTTGGTTAATCACACTCCTTCTTGGGGGAAGCCGCCGGACACTCCCATCCAAGGCCTTCTCTTTCTCATGACTTTTTTTCCTCCTGCTCGGAAGTCTACGAGGACGCTTCCGGGTCACGCGGCGCCGACACCAGGAATCATGTGACACCAAGATGGCGGCGCCGCGGTAGCTGAATCCGGGTTGTGGCGTCCTAGGAGCCGCGACGGTTTCTGCCCTCGGGCAGTGAGGGCCGGCAGCGCTTGGCTGACCCCTGCGGCGTCCCGTAGCCTCGCGTTAAGCCTTGTTCACAGCGAGGGCTGTTGCTTGTCGCGGTGAGTTTCAGGGAGTGCAGGTGACCTCATTGCAGGTTTCTTGTGCTGGCCGCGCTCGCCGGAGGAAGAAGAGAAGGGCATTTGGGCCTGCGGCCTTGGCGTTCATGAGGCCTCCGAGAGCTCCGGAGGAGCTACAACTCCGAGGGGGCGGCTAGAGTTCGAGTCCTCGGGTGTGTGAGAAGCTGCCTAGGACCCCGGGTTCGGGGAGTCGCAAAGAAGGCGGTAAGGGCTTCGCTTCCTTCTCCGGAGGCCTGCCTTCTGCGCGTCGATTAACCCCGCATTCTTTCCCACTTCCTCTCAATGTTTTCTTCATACATCTGGAAATATGATCAGCGCCCCTGACGTAGTGGCCTTCACTAAAGAGGAAGAATATGAGGAAGAGCCTTACAATGAGCCGGCCCTCCCTGAGGAGTACTCGGTGCCGCTCTTCCCCTTCGCCAACCAGGGTGCTAACCCCTGGTCAAAACTGTCTGGGGCCAAGTTTTCGAGGGACTTCATTCTTATTTCCGAGTTCTCTGAGCAGGTGGGACCCCAACCGTTACTGACCATCCCCAATGACACCAAAGTTTTTGGCACTTTTGATCTCAATTACTTCTCCCTGCGTATCATGTCGGTGGATTACCAGGCTTCCTTCGTGGGCCATCCTCCTGGATCTGCCTACCCCAAGCTGAACTTCGTGGAGGACTCCAAGGTGGTGCTGGGAGATTCCAAGGAGGGAGCCTTTGCATACGTGCACCACCTTACCCTATACGACCTGGAGGCCCGTGGCTTCGTGAGGCCGTTTTGCATGGCTTATATCTCTGCAGACCAGCATAAAATCATGCAGCAGTTCCAGGAGCTTTCAGCCGAATTTTCCAGAGCTTCTGAGTGCTTGAAAACTGGCAACAGGAAAGCATTTGCTGGGGAACTTGAAAAAAAGCTGAAAGACTTGGATTACACCAGGACAGTGCTGCACACGGAAACGGAGATCCAGAAGAAAGCCAACGACAAAGGCTTTTACTCATCTCAGGCAATTGAGAAAGCCAATGAACTGGCCAGTGTGGAGAAGTCCATCATTGAACATCAAGACCTGCTGAAGCAGATCCGCTCATACCCTCATCGGAAGTTGAAGGGGTGTGATTTGTGTCCTGGTGAGATGGAGCACATCCAGGATCAGGCCAGCCAGGCATCCACTACCTCTAACCCTGATGAGTCTGCCGACACAGACCTTTACACCTGCAGACCAGCCTACACCCCAAAACTTATCAAAGCAAAGTCCACCAAGTGTTTTGACAAGAAGTTGAAGACCTTAGAGGAGCTCTGTGACACTGAATATTTCACCCAGACCCTGACTCAGCTCAGCCACATTGAACACATGTTCAGAGGAGACCTGTGTTACCTCCTGACCAGTCAGATTGATAGAGCACTTCTAAAACAACAGCACATAACAAACTTTCTCTTTGAAGACTTTGTGGAGGTCGATGACAGGATGGTGGAGAAGCAAGAACGCATACCCTCTAAGCCCAGTCAAGACAGGCCGCCTTCCAGGTCTCTAGAAGAATGCCCAATTCCTAAAGTATTAATTAGTGTTGGTTCTTACAAGTCCAGTGTGGAGTCTGTGCTGATCAAGATGGAGCAGGAACTGGGAGATGAGGAGTACAAGGAAGTGGAGGTGACGGAGTTGAGCAGTTTTGACCCCCAGGAAAACTTGGACTACCTGGATATGGATATGAAAGGGAGTATCAGCAGTGGTGAAAGCATTGAAGTTTTGGGCACGGAGAAATCCACGTCTGTGCTTTCTAAGTCTGACAGCCAGGCCAGCCTCACGGTACCATTGAGCCCCCAGGTAGTCCGGAGCAAAGCAGTCAGCCACAGGACCATCAGCGAGGACAGTATTGAAGTCCTCAGTACCTGCCCCTCTGAGGCCCTCATCCCTGATGACTTTAAGGCCAGCTACCCAAGTGCCATTAATGAAGAAGAATCATATCCAGATGGCAATGAGGGAGCCATCCACTTCCAGGCAAGCATTAGTCCTCCGGAGCTGGGTGAGACGGAGGAGGGCAGCATGGAAAACACCCCATCACAAATAGACTCCTGCTGTATTGGGAAGGAGAGCGACGGTCAGCTGGTGCTGCCCTCCAGTCCAGCCCACACACACTCTGACGAGGATGGAGTGGTGAGCAGCCCCCCACAGCGCCACAGGCAGAAGGACCAGGGGTTCCGTGTAGACTTTTCAATGGAAAATGCCAGCCCTTCTTCCCGAGACGACAGTTGTGAAGGGTTTCCCGCTTATGAGCTGGACCCAAGCCACGTGCTGGCTAGCCGGGACATCAGTAAGACCAGCCTGGATAACTACTCAGACACCACCAGCTATGTGAGCAGTGTAGCTTCCACCAGCTCGGACAGGATCCCTTCTGCTTATCCTGCTGGCCTGTCTTCCGATAGGCATAAAAAGAGGGCTGGCCAGAACGCCTTAAAATTCATCCGCCAGTACCCCTTTGCCCACCCAGCCATCTACTCCCTGCTCAGCGGGAGGACACTCGTGGTCCTGGGGGAAGATGAGGCCATAGTCAGGAAGCTTGTGACTGCACTGGCTATCTTTGTCCCCAGCTATGGCTGCTACGCTAAGCCCGTGAAACATTGGGCCTCCTCCCCTTTGCACATTATGGATTTTCAGAAGTGGAAGCTTATTGGCTTGCAGAGGTAACTGGTTCCAGGTGCTGGGGAAGGGCCTTGGCCAGATAGGGATGAGGCATATTGGTGTGGTGGAGCCAGAATCAGGAAGCCTGGCTTCTAGACAGGGCCCAGTTCCTACCACTGTGTTACTTTTAACAAATCATCCCCCTCTCTGGTTTCCATTTCATTGTCTGTCATGTGAGGGGGTTGCAGTTCTTAGGTGGTTGCCAATCCCCATCTGTCCCCGAGCTGTGTCAGAATTATTAGAGAAAGTTTTTTTTTTTTTTTTTTTTTTTTTTTTTTTTGAGACGGAGTCTCGCTCTGTCGCCCAAGCTGGAGTGCAGTGGCCAGATCTCAGCTCACTGCAAGCTCCGCCTCCCGGGTTCATGCCATTCTCCTGCCTCAGCCTCCTGAGTAGCTGGGACTACAGGCGCCCGCCACCTCGCCCGGCTAGTTTTTTGTAGTTTTTAGTAGAGACGGGGTTTCACCATGTTAGCCAGGATGGTCTCGATCTTGTGACCTCGTGATCCGCCCGTCTCGGCCTCCCAAAGTGCTGGAATTACAGGCTTGAGCCCCCGCGCCCGGCCTAGAGAAAGTTTTTTTTTTTATTTTATTTTTTTTTTTTTTGCGACGAAGTCTCGCCATTGTCCCCCAGGCTGGAGTGTAATGGCACCATCTTGACTCACTGCAACCTCCACCTCCTGAGTTCAAGCAATTCTCCTGCCTCAGGCTCCCAAGTAGCTGGGATTGCAGGTGCCTGCCACCACCCCCGGCTAACTTTTCTATTTTTAGTAGAGATGGGGTTTTACCATGTTGGCCAGGCTGGTCTGGAACTCCTAACCTCAGGTGATCTGCCCGCCTTGGCTTCCCAAAGTGCTGGGATTACAGGCGTGAGCCACCACGCCCAGCCAGGAAAGTTTTAAAAATCATGAATTCCTGAATCACACCCCTCGAGGTTCTGATTCGGTTGGTGTGAGGTAAGACATGGAATTTCTCTGTGGCCCTCACCAGCCAGACGGCAGGGAGCATCCCTCTATAAAAGCAAAAGGCTCATCAGAAGGGACAGACGACTCCGGGGGAAAGGGTTAGGCCGCTGTCCCTATAAGTGCTCCTTCAACCTTCAGAGCATGCGCAGATGTTGGGTGCTGGGAGTATCTGCCTCCAGCGTCCTGCGCAGGCGTGAGGTGCGGCGGGCAGGGGTGGGGAGCCCTGTACCCTGGAGGGTCCCCTGCGGGGCCGAATGGGATGGACTACAGCTCACCCACAGAATTCCTGGGGGAGGTGTGAGAAGACACCGCCTGAGGGTATCATAAGGTGAAACTGTTGTGGGCCGTGGCAGTAAGCGGGAGCAGTCGGTGGTCTGGGTCAGGTCCTGGTGTGCCACCACTCGCTGTCTGGATTCGGACCAGCCATCTTATTCATTCAGTCACCCGATCGTGTTGAACACCTCTGAAGGGCTCCCGGGGCCCACCTGAGAGCCATTGGAAGGCTCCACGTTTAGTGCACGTCCAAAAAGCACAGCACAGTGCAGTGCCGGGCCCTGAGAAGTGCTCAGAGGGTGGAACCGGCACCGACACAGGCAGGCAGACTGGGGCCCACCTGAGGCCCAGCTTTAAAAATCATGAGCAGGAGAATGTCTTCAGTGGCTGTGACCTTCCTGTCCTCAGAGGTGTTGCGCTGCAGAGGCTCTGCACTCTGAGCACCATGGTCCAGAAGTGTCTCTCCTCACTCAGGCCCACTGCTCACATGATGGACTCTCAGAACTCTCACTTCAGAACACCAGTCTTGCTTGGCCTTGGTTTTTTTCACTCTGCCTGGAAGTGCTTGTAGTTGGGTCAGCCATCTGTGGGGATAAGAGATGACTAAACCACCAAGCTGGTCTCCTGTCATTTGCGGGTTTTTTTTTTTTTTTTTGAGACAGAGTCTTGCTCTGTTGCCCAGGCTGGAGTGCAGTGATGTGATCTCGGCCCACTGCAGCCTCTGCCTCCTAGGCTCAGGTTATTCTCGTGCCTCAGCCTCTCCAGTAACTGGGACTATAGGCGTGCGCCACCTTGCCAGGCTAATTTTTGTATTTTTTGTAGAGACAGCGTTTCACCATGTTGGCCAGACTGGTCTCAAATGATCGGCCCACCTCAGCCTTCTGAAGTGCTGGGATTACAGGCGTGAACCTGGCCCTGCTCTCATTTTAAGTGAACACCAGGAGTCACTGTATTGCTCACTAAGCAGCAGTCACAAGCCCGGACCAAAAAGCAGAGCATAGTTCTGGCGGGAGAAAGTGCTAGCCTAGTGTGTGTCAGAGACCCTGGGTTGAGTCCTGGCTTGACCACTAGCTAGCCTGGTGACCTTGCACAAGCTGCCACCTCACCCAGTCCTCTGTGTGCTCATTGGTCATAGAGGTGTCCTCCCACAGCGGGCATGGGAAGTGCAACGTGAAGCTGCAGTTGGGGTGCCGTGCGCCTGGGGGCTGGAGGCCTGAGGCTTCTCCCTTCCAGTGTCATCTGGCTTCCTGAGGAGGAGCTTTATGGAAACAGAAGTGGAGGAACAGTTAGAATAGCCAGCTTCTTCCAAAAGAAGTGTCACTGTTGGGGCAAGTGTCAGAGCTGCATCAGGGGATGCTGGGCCTGGGAGCAGGTATCCTGGCAGAGATGGAGGGGCAAAAAGGTGGGAGGTGAGGCCTGGGTGCCCTGTGGCGGCAGCACCTGTGGATCTGAATGTGCAGAGCTTGGGAGGTGTTTGACTCTGGCTGGCCCCGCTTTGGGAGGTGAGAGTGAAGGCAATAGAGAGCTGAGAAGGCCCCACAACCAGAACACAGGGGCCATGCAGTATGGGTTGAGGAGAGCATCTCACTGCCCTTGTGAGCTTTCTTAGCTGTCAGCCACCTGCAGTCCCCAACTCCTCCATGCCCGTGGGATGCATGCAGTCCATAGCCCAGCGCTGTCCCGGTGGTCAGGATGCATGCAGGATGCATGGCCTTTGTGTCTCAGCTGTCCCATCTCTGTGACCTTGCTTTTGCCTTGGTCTGCCACACCCTCCTCAGTCCCTAGAGCCCTCTGTGCTTCTGAGGGCCAGTTCTAAGGTACCTCTACAAATCCCCCAGGTCTTCCCAACTACAACCTTTCTCAAGGAGAATGAGACCTCATCTCCCTTCACTTTGCTGTACTTGTGCACATTTCTTCCCAGTCAGACTGAGCTCATGCAGGACAAGAGTTCTAGGTCATTCTTCATTACAGGGTTAGCTCTCAGGGCAATGCCGGGATGTTACAGATGCTCTGTAAATGATTGTTAAATGTACAAGAAGATAAAACCCAGGAAGGGAAAAGTACTATGAGATTACCTTGGTCCCAAGTCACCGTCAGTCCTTTTTACACCATACCTGTCTGACATAAACCCTAAATGTCCAGGCCCTACAGGGCAGTCCCTGCTGCTCTGAGGAAGCTGCTCCAGGAGGATGTTTAAGGAACCACTCCCCTCACCGAGTGAATACTGGCTTTCCTGGCTCTGATGTGCCAGGCATTGGGGCATGAGACCAGATCAGATGCAGTTCTGGGACTCTAGAATCTTGGAGCTCCTTGTTCAGTGGGGAGAAGCCAGTGAACAAACAGCAGTCACCCCACTGGTCAGTGCTAGGCTAAAAGTAGTGATAGTGATGACAGCGCCTACTGAGGACAGCATTGTCCTAAACATCACTCATTTTGTCTCCACAGCGACCCCATGAGGGATGTAATAGTAGTAACTGGCCCGTACAGTGGCTCATGCCTATAATCCTAAATCTTCGGGAGGCTAAGGCAGAAGGATCACTTGAGCCCAGCGGTTCAATACCAGCCTGGGAAACATAGCAAGCTTTCTTCTCTGCAAAAAATTACCCGAGCGTGGTGGCATACGCCTGTAGTACCAACTACTTGGGAGGCCAAGGTGGGAGGATTGCTTGAGCCCCGGAGGTGAAGGCTGCAGTGAGTCACGATTGTGCCACTGCATGCCGGCCTGGGCAACAGAGCAAGACCCTGTCTGTAAATAAAGACAGTAGGAACTGTTATCTCCATCTTATAGATGAGGCTCCGAGAGGTTAATGAATTTGGCCAAGGTCACAGCGAGAAAGCAGGAGAGGCTTGGGGAAGGCTGAATATGGGTACAAGAGGGAGAGAGGTTATTTCAGGCAGAACAAAGAGGTTTTGTTTGTTCGTTTGTTTGTTTGTTTTGTTTTTGAGACAGCGTCTCACTCTGTCGCCCAGACTGGAGTGCAGTGGCACGATCTCGGCTCAGTGCAAGCTCCACCTTCCAGGTTTACGCCACTCTCCAGCCTCAGCCTCCCAAGTAGCTGGGATTGCAGGCGCCCGCCACCACGCCCGGCTAATTTTTTGTATTTTTAGTAGAGACGGGGTTTCACCACGTGAGCCAGGATGGTCTCAATCTCCTGACCTCGTGATCTACCCGCCTCGGCCTCCCAAAGTGCTGGGATTACAGGCGTGAGCCACCCGGCCTGAACAAAGAGGTTTCTAATTTTGAGGCCCCACTGAAAGCTTGTCAGGGCTCCAAAAAAGAGTCCATTCAGCAGGAATTAGACCAGAAAGGGCTTTGTGGGCCACCCACTGCGTTTGACCTTGACCATAAGAGTGGTGAGGAGCCCTTTGAAGATCACGATGATCAGATTTGTCTTCCAGGAAGAGCCAGTGCATGCTGGCTAGGTGGATGCTGGCCTGGGGACAGGAGGCCTCACCTCCCAAGCTTCTGCCTCCACTTTCCCGGCCCTTGCCCTTCCTCCTGACCTTGGCCTGTCTGTTTCAGAGTGGCCTCCCCTGCCGGTGCCGGTACCCTTCATGCCCTGAGTCGCTACAGCCGCTACATGAGCATCCTGGACCTTGACAACAAAACCCTGCGCTGCCCCCTTTACAGAGGCACCCTAGTGCCCCGCCTGGCAGACCACCGCACACAGATCAAGCGGGGCAGCACCTACTACCTGCATGTCCAGAGCATGCTCACTCAGCTCTGCTCTAAGGCCTTCCTCTACACCTTCTGCCACCACCTGCACCTGCCTACGCACGACAAGGAGACAGCGGAGCTGCTAGCCAGCCGCCAGGCGAGCTTCCTAAAGCTGACCCTGGGTCTGGTGAATGAGGATGTCAGGGTGGTCCAGTACCTGGCTGAGCTGCTGAAGCTGCACTACATGCAGGAATCTCCAGGGACCAGCCACCCCATGCTCAGGTTTGACTATGTCCCCAGCTTTTTGTATAAAATCTGAGGTCGGTCCCAGCCACTGTGACCAAGACCTGTGACTCAGGGTATGGGGAGGGGAGGGGTTGGCATGACCAAACAGTTGCCTGAACTGGACTGTTTAGGTTTCTGGTGTCTGGCAGCATGGTTCCCACGTGGCTCCTGGTAGTTTTCAAATTGGACGTGGGCAGAAGTGGAGCCTGGGTCCCTCTAAAGGCATCTGGAGGGATGGTGACAGCTACATTCGGCTCCCTGGTGAAGAGAGGCCCCTGGATGTAGAGGGGGCCTTGGTTTTCTGAGGACTGGCAGCCAGGGCAGAAGGGAAGCCACCAGTCCCTTGGTGGGGTAGGGTGAGGGCAGGAAGGCCAAAACCTGATGGGAGGAGCACACTGACCATATTCAGCATTGCCGGACACTTGAGTGGCAAAATGAGCGAGGGCGGCAGCTCGGTAACTGTTGTGGTTTGATGGAAAACAGGAGGGCAGAACACCCATCACCTCCTTCAGACCCAGATGCAGACCTTTATTTGCCTCCTGGAGCCTGCTGTCCCAGGGGAGGCCCTGGACCAGCCAGTGGGAGGGAGAAAGGCTGCCACCCTTTGGGTTGTGGGAAACATGCAGCCTTGGCCTCAGGGCCACAGAGCGTGAACAGCACCCTGTCCCCTGTCCTCACCACCTTTACCTGGGAGAGAAATGCCTGTGAGCGGGCCTTGGGACTCACCCCCTACACTCTTTCGCCAGGAACGAGCAGAGTGTTCCCTAGTCCCCGTGTGAAGCGGGCACAAGTGACCAAAGCCAATGGTGAGCACCACCTGGGGGCTGGAGAGCACAGCAGGCAGAGCAGGGCTGAGGTGCCATGAGGCCATCCCCGCCACGCAAGGGAGGAGCAGTCAACAGCCCTCCTGGGTGGCCCACTGGCTCCTGCTGGCCAGAGTGCGTGAGCACTGACTGTCCTCGTGGGGAAGGTCTGCAGACCCGTGTGAACATGGCAGAGGCCACACTGCAGCTCCCACCCACACAAACCTTTGCAACCACTTCACTACCTCTCACTGGGTCTCGTGGGCACTGGACAGCACGGTTCTGTTTAGTCAGCTGGTGCAGGTGGTCAGCCCAGCCGATGAGAACTCAAATGGCTGGATTTCCTGGATGAGCTACCACGTGACGCTCTTCAGGTTCTGCCTTTGGGAGGCTGTGTGCACCTCAGTCACCACAGCTCGTGGCCATCCCCAGTTGAGTCTCCCTTCTGAGGACAAGTTTGAGACTGGGAAGGAGACACCCCTGGTTCAGCACCTGTCCCACTGACAGTGATCCCCTGGCCTCCCCGAGCCTCCTTAGGCAATGGCCACTGGTTTGTAGACAGAGGGTTTCTTGCAGCCTTGAAAATTTTATTCCCTAAGTGGGGACAGCTCTGGGTATTACTGCTTCTTTGATTTGTTCCACAAAAATTGTGCTGAAATGGACCTGAATCAGCCCTGGGTGTGCATCTGTTGGCGCCTACTGCTGAGGCCCGGCCTGCCCATCGGCCTGTAGTACGCACTCGAGGTCATCACGGAGCCAGCCAGCTTCTCTTCTCATCAAGGAGGCAGAGACCCCGGTGGAAGCCGAGAGTGACCAAAGAGGGCTTGCATCACATCACTCCAGTGGTTCCCTCCTTGTCCAAGTCCTCATTGTAAGGGCATGGCCCGTTGGCTCCAGCCGTTGGCTTCTGTTCAGGGTCCTTGTTCCCACCAGAGGTGTTTGATTTTGCTCCTGGGGCTGTGATGGAGAACCTTTTGTGGCAGATGGCGCTGCCTACATCTCATTGGTTCTCTGTACCTGTGCCCGTTGCACATGTTCACAGACAGGAGAGTCGCCAGCAATACCTTGGCAGCCTTTAAATGTGAAACGTCTGTTACTTGCGCCGGAGGCAGAGGCTGTGCAGGGAGCCTGCTTCTCATCATGGGCTCTCTTATCTGTACGGCTCCCCCTCCTCCTGTTCTAGATGCTGATTTGTTTTCTCACTGGCTGGCTAATTGCTGTCTACTTACGCCTCCATGGCCATAACTGTGCAACATTTTATCTGAGAAGGCAGGAAGGTCAGAAAGTGATCATTGGCCCCACCACTGTGGCATTCCTGTCCCTAACACAGAAATTCACAGCTCATACTCTTGCCTGGGAAACTTGGGAAAGGCTCATGAGTTTGGGGCAGATCCTGAATTGCAGCCACACTTGGCCTTCTAGAAGCTGAAGCTGTGCACTCAAGTGGTCCTAAGTAGAAGTCCACTTGGGGTATTTGCTGGCACACACTTTCAAGGGTGGTTCGGAAGGTCCTGAGACCTAAGGCAAAAGGCTGCTGGGGCATGAACAGAACAGACTGTCTCAGGGGCAGCCATAGAAGTGGCAAGCAGGGCCAGTCTCCCTCAAGGTTGTTCTTCATTAAGTAAAGATGGCTTCGTGACTAGTGTTTGAGCTCCCAGATTTATATTTGGGTTAAAAACTAACTTTTCAATGTGGCAGTTTCAAAGGATTACTTGATGCAAAGTATGTTTCCTTTCAAAGGGATCTTGAAGTGGTACCAGGACTGAGTCATAACTTGGGCAGAGGCAGTTAACACTGGGAAGCCCTGCCCCTCCCTATGCCCCCTTCACTCTGGGGGACTGAAACCTACTATGCAGTGGGACTAATCTCATCAAGAATTTTCAGTTGAGGCCTGGCGTGGTGGCTCATGCCTGTAATCCCAATACTTTTGGGAGGCCGAGGCGGGCGGATCACCTGAGGTTAGGAGTTCGAGACCAGCCTGGCTAACGTGGTGAAACCCTGTCTCTACTAAAAATACAAAAAAAGTTAGCCAGGTCTGGTAGTGAGTGCGGGTAATCCCAGTTACTTGGGAGGCTGAGGCAGGAGAATCACTTGAACCTGGGAGGCAGAGGTTGCAGTGAGCCGAGGCTGCACCACTGTACTCCAGCCTGGGCAACAAGAGCGAAAACTCCGTCTCAAAAAAAAAAAAAAAGAATTTTCATTTGAGGTATTCTTCCAGTAGAAGGTTAATCAGTTTTTAATGAAACCATTAAAAATAACACTTCCCAGAAAATAGATGACATCAGTGCCCCTTGCTACTTCCTCAGTCCTCACTGTTGCTTTGAGGGCCCAGGTACTGAAACTGGTTGTCTTGAGTTTTGTGTCAAGCTTTTCCTCCAGTCCATTATCCCCCTCCCTCGTTTCTGAAGCAGTCTAGGTTAAACTAGCTACGCAGGTAGTTGTGGACTGGTCATTTTCAAAAGCCCCACTTTAGAGATCAGGCCACAGCTTTTTATATCGCACAGGACACATCAGCCTGAGCTGCTGCCTCACGCCTGTTTCCCCAGGAACCTCACTCCTTTGGTGGAACCTTGGGATTTTAGAAATTGTGGCTTTTCCATACCTCATTTACTCCAACAGTTGAAGTTACACACATTGCTCCCGAATTTGGAAATAGACTGCAGTACTTTACCTTTCATTCTCCATCTGGCCTTTACCTTCTTTGCTTCAGTGGTGGAAAACAGTTGCCATATTCAAAGTATAGTAGATTTCAACCTCACACAAACGACAAGTCCCATTTCACAATCCTAGGAAGGCCCACCAATTTCATTTCACGCACCAGGGCGGCTGCAGTTGGAGGCCGAGGGCAGCCCTCTGCTCACTGAATGTCTTGCATGCGCTGACTGCTGCCCGCGTGCTGAACATGCCCCACCGCCCAGGCCCAGCACTGCATGTTGGGTCAGCGTCTAGTGCTGCTGTCACGTCTTTGTCTGCACAGCCAGTAGCATTGTCTCAGCCAGGGGGTTTATCAGAAGGTGTGCAAGGCCTTTGGGGGAACTGAGCCCCTATAGTGGGCAGTCTCCTTTACGTTCCCACCTCCCCGAAAAGCACAGAAGACAGTGCCTTGGTTTGTGCTTTGAAGTAAACCAGCCAGCTTTCTGGCTTTGCCCCAATACTGTGATGGAACATAATAAAACTGGAGATACGGTTTTAACACTGCAAACAGGAAAAAGCATCAAGTTTCTACTTCTGGCTGGAAAGCAAAACCAATCTCAGCTGACAAGACTGGGCAAACTAAGTTTTCCTGAGTCCATTCTCCTTCGAGCCCTGACCTAACCTGGCCTTACCTCATTAAGGTTTGGTTAAAGCAGTGGCAAGGAGGCGGCAAGAGTGGATGGGGGTGTGGGGAGGGGATGAACACTCTGCAGCCAATTAATCTGTTGGTAGGGGCCCAGCTTCTTGGGAGTGCTTATTCAGCTCAAGAGTGGAGGCTGTACACAGCGAGCCCTGGAGATGGCAGCTTGTCTCCAGCTGGGGAGGGTTCAGGCCCCTGAATTGAAGACCACTTTGGTAGCAGAAATGTAGGGACTGGTCACTCATTTCTTTTGGTAGCAGAAATAAGTTGAGTCACCCACAACTCACGGATTCTGTAGCAGCTGCTCCACCCACAATAAAGCAAACGCCAACAGGCTAGACCCCAGATTGCAGGGACTGCCACCTACAAGGTGGGACCGCAGGCTGCCTCACGGGGATTGTCTGCCACTAAATAGCTGGAGTCACAGATTGAGATAAATGCCACCTTCAAGGTTGCAGTGAAAAGCATAGTCCTATGTGATGAATTCATATGTGTTATTTTTTAAAAAGCTATTTTATTACTGCATGTTCCCGTCCCGTCTTGTGAATGTGAGTCCCCGCCACCACATGAGCTGCAGTTGTTGCAGCGGCTGGTGCAGAGTGCGGCTGGCGCGTGTGTGATAGCATCTCGTAGGTGTTGCTGCACAAGAGTTAACCAGAGTCAATGCCAAACACATAGTATGAGAAGTGTACTTTTTAAGAAATTAATTTATTTGAGTTCAAATATTTTTGAAATATGAAAATTGGTTGTATTTTTTAAAGCTATAATTCTTGTAGACATTCTGTGGTTAAAAATTTGATTGTGCTTATTAAAAATGGTCATCTATGTTTTGCACTTCAGCTACGTGAAAATAAAGTTTCTTTGGGAAGGTGACATTTGGCTTCCTGATTACGGGAAGGAGTTGGTTATCTCAGGTGGAGCAGGAGAGCCTGGTTGATTCTCACACCAGGATGGGACTGCGACTTCCCAGGATGGAGGGAGGAGACCATTGCTACACCACACTTTATGAGTTACTGAAAGCAAAACCCTCCCACCATACTGGGTACATCTTGTGTGCACTTGGCTAACATACACTTCTGATTTACAGCAGAAGGTTCAGAGGCGAATTCAGTTCTCCTTTGGCATGCCACTGGATAACACGATAGTGAGAGGGGCAGTGTGTACAAGCTGTGGACATGGGCATTTCCTCTCTGTTGCAGCAAGGTGGAGGAAAGCCAGGGAGAGTAAAATGCTAGAATCTTCCTAATAGCTTTGCCCTACACCACGGTCTAAATGATTATGGCCAAGTGGCTACATAGTATTTTATTTTTCTAGAATTATATCCAGCTGTGAGAAAGCCAGGTTCAAATTTAAATCCTTTAATTAATAACCTGTCCCAGAATTACTAACAGTGAGACTTAAACAAATTTTGATTTGTGAAGAAAATATGAAAAAAGTCCAAAAGAAACCCCGTCAGAGGGCCCAAGTGTCAACGGTTCCCCTGTGGAGCAGCTCATCCATTTCTCAAGTGGGGTCCCCCGGCAGGCGGCTTCCTCTGTGGCGCCAGGCGGGTCCAGAGCGGACCGGCTCCTTTAGAAGTCGGGCAGGCCAGGCAGAGGGAAGAGAGAGGCGAAGCTCTCAACCTCCTCCCGGAGAGCCTGCACGGCCCCCTGGTACTTATCCCCTGTCAGTCTCTCCTTGAACTCCTTCAGGGTGGCTCTGACACCAATGTCGCTCTGAATCTGCAGGGTCAGCTCTATCCCTGTGCGACAAGACACAAGTGAGTCACCCCACACCACACACCAAGTGAGGCGCAATGGCTGGGGGCCGAGGCACAACTGCCAGAATGTCCCCCAGCTGGGGAGCGCGGCAGGGCACAAGGTCTCCATGCTTACCTCAGTTACTCTCGGATGCACCCACCCTTAGATGTCCTGGGTAGCCCAAATTTATAAACCTCTCAGACAAGGTGATTTACGTAAGTGTTTTTTGCTGTCTCCCACCCCAACACTCAGCCTTGGTGCAGAATTGTCTTTCAGTGGCAGGATCTCAGCTACTCATCACAATCAGAAACTAAATACAATAAGATGTGGCAACTTCCAAAAGTTTATCCTTACCTCTGTGAATAAACTGGGCTACTTTTTGGAAGTCTTTTTCCAAAAGTCCGCGAGACGTCAGTGCTGGGGTCCCCAGCCGCAGTCCACTGGGCCGCAGAGCACTTCTGTCACCT